ATAAGCTCAAGTGGCTCAGCTTCCCATCTCCTGTAACACAGCCCCTGTCATGCTACAGTCACATAAAGGCCAGTAAAAATTTGAGTCTGCCAGATTTTTAAGTGTTGAATGCCGAGAAAAGGTAATATTTAGACATATTTTTGACAGACCTGGAGAATATAGTCACCAAACAGATATGTAGCACTGGATGAATGAATATAATTGTGATTTTGCCATTTCCAAGCTGAGTGTCATGTATTTATGGGTACAAATTCCACGGCACATGTGTGTGTGCAGGTATCTGCAGAGCACACACACATACACACAGAGTGCATTGGCACAGCTAGGGTCAAGAGGCTAGTAAGGACTTAAAAAAAAAAAAAATCAATGTGAAGGAATTTAAACCATTCCAATTACCATTCATGTTTCAAATCTATTAGCAGACACCTGGGAATTAACAATTAAGTGTTCAGAGACAAAAGGATAGGTCAATTTAAGAATAAAGAGGTTGATTTTCCAGCAAAAGATATCAACAGAATCTCATTTAATTCAATTCAAACATTTCATTTTATTAGAGGTAGATTTGCTATGGTACATATCTCCGGCTATCCCCATAAAAGGACATTAAGGGCATTTTGCCATTAACTCTGCAAGGGAGGGTGAAATAGAAAATACAGCACAAGAATATCCTCTTGAAATTCTTTTAGATCTGGATGCTATTCCTGTGCTTTTCTGCCCTGTGCCACTTTCCCATGTCCTACTGGTCCCTGGGCAAACTGGGGGTCACTGCAGCCTTCACCTTCAGCTCAGACCTCCCTGGTGCTCACAGTCCTCTGTGGCTGAGCACTGGGGAGTGTTCTCATTCACTAAAAAAAATTGCATTTTTGTGTGAAATTTATTTCAGCTGTTTGCTCCTTTTGTCCTTATTTTCATCAATGAGCAGACAGGGGCCTGTGCACCGATACATACTGTGCTGAATCAAAGGTGAAATGGTAACTTGGCAAGAAAAAAGGCTTTCTAATGCTTTATCAATTCTCAAACTAGCTGTTCTGGTTCTGTCTTAAGCTTTAAGTATTTGCATTAAGATCCAGATTACAAGTAACTGGTCTCAGAAAAACATGTGAAACAGGAATTTTAAATGAAAATGTGGAATGGAAAATGTGGCATTCTGGAGCTGGGCTTATCTGAGCATGCAGCAAAGATGCAGTTGTCTACTAAAGCAGTGACTGCTCAAAGGACATTCAGCAGGGCAAGCTGGATGCTTTTTTTCTGCCTGGAAATGCAGGCTGCCTTCCTGCCATCTTCCCTTCATAATGCATTTTAATCAAGTCACAGAATGGTGAATTTGCAGTCAATCCAAGCCTGGAATCTATAATCTCATTGAAAATTATTTTATAAATAGAAACAATTTAATACCTTTTTATAAATCTTCTAACGATAAAGCACTGGCACAGTCTTGGAGCACAGGCGAGGTGGGAACTGGACGTGAATGTGTTTGATAAACTCATTTAAATGATGGTGTGGACATGTGGGTGTGCTTGCAGCAATCAGTGCTGCTGGAATTGTCTGTCTGACCAGGGCCCCTTGCACCAGCTGAGACAGGATGCCCTGAGGGGCAGGACTGGACCAAGCTGAGTTCCCCAGCTTGCATTTGCCATTGTAAAGATTTGAATGTTGTCTCTATGACATTCATGTTCCTGAGGCAATGGCAGGAAGCTGTGTCAGGGAAGGTTCAGGCTGGAGATTAGGAAAACCTTCTTCCCCCAGAGGGAAACTGGAGCAGCTCCCCAGGGCAGTGGTCACAGCACCGAGCCTGGCAGAGCCCAAGGAGCATTTGGACAATGATCCCAGGCACAGGGTGGGCTTCCAGGGGTTCTGTGCTGGGTCAGGAGCTTGACTCAACCATCCTTGTGGAACCCTTCAAAATCAGGAGATTCCATGATTCTATGATTTTGTGCATGTCTGGATTTCCAATCTCTCCTTTACACCCTGGGGGCATTTTCCTGCAGTCCTGCAAGGATGATCAACTGCTCCCATCGATCAGTACTTCTGGTGTTATGCAGACATGCAAAAATCGGACTTGACCCAAAGCCCAGGAGCTGGGGTGTGAGAGCAGAGATTCCTGCTGTCACACAGCACCCACACTGCAGAATAATGGGGATTTCTGGGGACGCTGGAAAGGATAGAATGGAACTGGTGAGTTAAAGGTCAATATTAAGGCTGGGAATAAAGCATAGAAAAATCATGGTAAATAAAAGAACTGCTGACAGCAATGAGAAATGAATAATTTCATACAGCAGCTTTTGCTGGAAACTATTCCAAAGGACCGGTGGAATTACTCATTGTGCTAATTCAAAGTTACCATCCAAAGTCCTGGCGACTGCTGATAAGAGGAAGATCAGCACAACCCACTGCTACCTGAAAGCACTCAAAAAAAGATGTGGAATAGCAAAGAGGTGTGGAACATGTGCTGGGGCAATGTCGTCCTCTGCAGCAGTGGCAGTGTTGGGCCAGGGGCAGTGGTTTGGTTTTTAGGTCCAGGCTGACTGGGGACAGGGTGCAGGAGCTCACAGCCTTCACTGCCAGCCAGGGACAGCTTCATAGAGGGATCTTCAGAAAACCAGTTTATGGTCAATAGCTACAAAATTAACCTTTTTATTTCCCTCTACTAAGTCCTTAAAACTGTCATTAAAACAGCTGGTAATCGCTGCTGTAATTAGGTTATGCTCTATTACCCTTGAAGACAAGTAAACCTAGAAGAAATAGAGGGAATTTGTTTTGGGAGACATTTATAATCATGTATTTAGTAGAATCACAGAATGGATTGGGTTAGAAGACACTTCAACCTTGCCTTGTTCCAGTCCCCTTGCCATGGATAGGGACACCTTCTGCTAGACCACGTTGCTCCAAGACCCATCCAAGCTGGATGAGGGATCTTTCCAGTGATGAGGCATCCTGTGAAATTCCAGCAAAACAACCTTAGCCGTAATGTTTTTTTTCATATCCCTTGGTTAGTTCTTCCCTGCATTAAGCATCCATACTGGGAATATCTGTGCTGCTTTTGGTGCAGTTCCCCAGAAGGAATTACCTATGTGTCATTGCAAACAGCTCCAGGTTGTCACAGAAGATAATATCTCCAGGTTTTATGCAAGTGATTCGCTTGTTATGCTTTGGGAAAGTTTGCCACTAAAGAGACTGTTGTTAGGATAAATTATTCTTTGTATATAGACAGGTAAACTTGTCATTTACACACACACACACACACAAACACACATATATATGTGTGTCTGTATTTGTGTGTGTTTATACACACACATACACATACATATACACACATCCATGCATAAATGGCAGTTATTTGAAGGTAATGCCTAATGTATATTTATTTTCATTATGCACTTTTTAACATTTTCAATTTAACCATACAGGAATCCCAGGATAAAGAGGCAGGACTGTGTGTAGAGCAGTTCTTCCCCTTTCTTTTTGTGTTTATGCACAAATTTATATAATTCAATTAAATAATGAAAAAATGCCATAGTATGCAGATAAAGCAGTATTTTTTTAAAAAGCACATGCAGTAAAAAAAAAGCAATATTCAGACTAAAAGGAAAATGAGAAGGAATGTTTGTTTTTATCTGAAATGCCATAAAAGTCTGAAGAAATTTTTTTGAGGATGTGTCACCCTCTCCACATATAATCAAGGATTTATGAAATGAAGCAGGATTTGGGGCAGAGCTTTTGTTTCATGTCTTTTTCTTGGCTCTCTTTATCCTTTTTCATGCCTCAGCAACCTATTTTTTATTTAATTTTCCCAGAGCAGTCAAAGACAAAACATGGATTAGAGCCCTGAGAGCAGCTGAAGCCTGCACTTGGGTAATGGTTTCGAGAGTAAAAGTGTCCAGATTGAGGAGATTGCTCAAAGTTTTACTAGACACATGTGAAAAATATGGCTCCAGAGATGATAAATCAACATTATTACTGCTGGTTATTATTAATTTAGGTCTTTGGCCTTTAAAGAGGACGTTGCTGCCTAACAATGGATGTTAGAAGGTTGAGGTACAATGCAAAAATGGGATTTGGAATGGTGGTGTAGCACATAGGAATTATTATACAGAAAATTTTTAAAAGAATCCCTAAGGCACACTGATCTTTCATTTCCTAACCAAAAGTCCTCATTCCTGGCTAGACCCTTTCATTACTAGACTGATCTACATTTACCTCCCTTTGTTGTGACCTTGTTATGCACTCTGCAATGATAATGGAATTGCAGATACTTTCAAAGATATCATTAATTCAAAGGTAACTGTTTAATTATTGAAAAATAAGCCCAGTGTAGCTCTTTGCAGGGTGGAACAGCTCAGACTGGGTACCCTGGTTTTCTATTGGGAAGAGAACGTGATGGTCTCTCCTGATTCTGCCCACACTGCCTGTACCCAGCACTGATACCAAGTTTTCTTGTTTGGAAAATAAGTACTGCACGTTCCTAACCTTTGTATTTTTTTAGTCACTCTGTTTATTATGCTTATAACCATCAGACCAACTACATTTGCATTTTGGCCTAAGAGAAAAAATCTGTACATTTATTTTCATTAAAAGGATTATTTTATTCTTGTCCAAAACAATGCAGCAAAACATCATAGTTACTCTGAGTGAACATTGGGAATGGGGCTGCTAATTAGTGGCTGATTTGAGGAACAAAAAATCCACTTGGGAAACATGATAATTGCCCACATATTTCTTTGGGTCAGGCAGCCATGTTACATCAAACACTAGATTTATTATTCCATTTAAATCATTTTGAAATAATTAAAATTGTGTTGTGCATCTAACTGAGCAGATCCAAAGTACAAAATCATACATCTAAATTATGAACTGAATGGAGCATTGCCCAAAAAGATAAGTAGTGAAGTATGTTTCTACTTCTGAGGCAAAAAATAGTAAACATATATTTTCTACGTCACATTTTTTTCTAAATAGTTGCTGTTTTATTTCTATTTCTTTTCCTGTGTCCTAAAATATAGGTCCAAGCAGGATTGGAAACCTGTCAGTATCTCTGCATTGGTGGCTCCCTCCATTTCCAGGTATACTTGGAGACAAGAGCTGGGCCAGGGACAGCCTGGCCTGATGACAGCATTGCAGGGGACTTAGGCTATTAATGCCAATACATAAAAATTTATAATAATATCAAAGATGGATTCTTATTGAGTGAGAATTACCAAATGTGTTGAGTCCCAGAGAGAAGTCAGTCATTCTTGTGTCACCTCCTAAGACCTAATTCTTAGTATTAAAGTAATATGTGATCTCATTTCTGTATTTCTAAGGGATGAACAAAAGATGCCTGTGTTAAACGCAAAACAACATTTTGGGAAAAGAAGTTACTTCTAGATGCTTCAAATCAATCTGACAGCCCACTGCTTTAATCTGACACCAGTAGAATGGCAATAATTTGGAAGGTGTCCCAAATAGAGCCTTGTGATGAAATCACCAAGGTTGTGGGTTTAATCTCCATATAGGCCACTCACTTAATAGTTGGACTTGATGATCTTTGTGGATCCATGCCAACTTAAAATATTCTTTAGTTCTATGAAATTTTCTTCTCTAATTTGCTCTTCCTCTTCAATATATAGTTAATCCTCTGAAGATGCTTTTATAAAATATGTTTTTTTTCTGGGTACAATTCAATGAGGTGGAAGTACTTAAAATTTTTGTTTTCAGTGAAAATGCTATCAGTTTTATTTGCAAGAGAGCGCATGTGCCACATCTACTCATTTTTTGAACATTTCCAGGGATGGTGACACTTTCTGGTGGAGTCTGTTCCAGTGCTTTCTGTGATTAAATTTTTCCTAGTATTCAACCTGAGTAATGGGAAACAAACCAGATGAAATTAATATTATTTAAAATTTGTAAAATAGGTATCTATTAGTGGTTTTTCAAACATGGTTGTGGGGGACACACACACAAACCAGGCTGGGCATGGCATCACCCACTGTAGCCACCTGTGGTGACAAATCCATCCTGTTTTCAGAAGTCAAGCAGGGCAGAGGGATGGCGTGAAGAGCTGGAGACAGCAGAGCATCTCTGGTACTCTCAAGCTGGCTACTGTGCATCTCCAGCAGCCACCCCTGTGCTCGCTGGGGTGATCCACAGGGAAGGCACAACGGCATTTCTCCCATTTCAGTATTTTGATGTTTCCCCCCCAGTTTCCAGCAGTTCCACTTTTCTGCTGCTTTGCCTCTCCAGAGTTTTTGCTGACAGAACAGAATGCTGGTAGCAAACACATTATTCATTGTGATTGAACGCCTAGTAATTACGTTATATATTTTTTTCATTTCTTAAATTAAATCTCTTTGCTATTAAGAACAGATGTTAAATTCGGGAATGTTGTTGATTGTTAGTGTGACACACACATGAAATATTTTAAATGAGAAGGCTGATTGAATTTTAAACATACTGATCACACTGGTGGAATTGAAAATAATTGAAACTGGGAATAGCTGAAATGTTTCCAAGAAGAGGAGACGGAGGTGGGGTTTGCTTTTCAAATTCCTGATCACACCAATCATGTTAAATTCTGCAGACTAAATACAATTATTTACTGTATATCATAATACCAAACATGAGACTTGCATGGTTTTTACTTCAAAATCACAGTAGAAAAGAATTTAAAAAATAAGACAAAATCAGGACTTCAGATATTACTCATGTCCTTGTAGGAGCTTGTCTTTTTTTGTTTGTTTGTTTGTTTCCTCAGCTCATTCAGTAAAAGCACATTTCAGGAAATCTGACATTACTACCAAGGAAGTATTGTCCACCATGCAGGCTGAGCTGGTTCTTGCAATCCTTTCACCTGCAGAAAGCCCCAGATCCCTTTCCCAACCTGGAGGACTGATGGCTTCATTCTGCAAGGGCTGATGCTGGAAAGAAGGGAGGAAATTACTGCAAAGCACCCAATCACCAATCTGAACCACTAGGCTGGATGTAAGCATTACATTTTCCAGTCACCCTATTGCTCTGACGCCTTTCTGCTGGACCAGTGAGAACTCAGGAGTGCTCATTGGGACTGACAGATGGATTCTGCTCCCACACTTGCCCTCATGTCCCGCAAGGTTTGGCATGAAGTCTGCAGTATCTGTTCCACCAATTTTTCCACACGTTTTCCAGCTCTTGGAAGCTGTTGTGTGTCTGTAGGTCACTTTGCTATATTTGAATTAGCAAAATGCATGTGTTACATGTGGAGTTCTCTAACCTGACTTCGCAGGATTTATAACATACAAGGCATGAAAAATCTGAGTTTGGAAAGTAATGCAGTAACAATTGCAATTAACCTCCAGAATCCTCAGGTACCCTTGGGGTGTAAGGCTTAAAGCACATTGATTTTAATTAAGTTTAGTGACCAAGTACTGCTTTTTCAAAAACATTTTACTGGCATTTCTCCTGCAACAAATTGCTTTAAAGCCTGAATGTTGGTGCCAGCTCTACCCCATGTGACCTAATGCCAAGAGGCAACAACTCGAGGAAAGAAAATCTAGATTGAAAAAGCCATTTCTAAGCAGGGACAACTTTTATTTGTGCCAAACCACTTTTGCATATGTGGTTTCCTCTTACGTCTGATATAATTTGCAGATTTATAACACTTGCTGAACTTCTCAAAACAAGAAAACCCCCACTGAGACTGCAAATCGTTGTTGCACTGAGTGATCCTTGTCCCTATATGTGCCACATTAAAGATGCCTGGCACTGGTACTAGGGAAAGTCTTCTGACACCCAGTGTCTTCTGGGGCTGTCATGCTTTATTGTGTTCATGATCCACGGAGGAAAGGTTGCTAATAGCAGACATTGACCCACTGGTGGTAATTGCTGTGAAAACATTATTCAAGCTGATTATGTTAATGACAGAAGGATGAGGCACTGCCTAAAGAGTTAGTACAGCATCACCAGAGATGCTATATTTATTTAACTGATTGATCACTTAAAGGTTTGTAAACTGCCTTCTCTGTATAATAATGCTGCATAATCATGTACCTACAAATTAAACAATCCAGAGAGCTAAGGCAGAATGGTTGTTGCAGATCTGATTTTCATGTAAAATCTCAAGACTTTAATGGGCTTATTTACATAACAAGTCATGGTCTAGTCTCCTTTACCAGCATCAGCTTGATGTGGAGTTGGTTTCAGCTGTAAATTTTTATGGTTTGACGCTAGTGGAATATAAGAGAATGGTTCACATATTTTAGTAATTTGAAATATATTTTTTATTTAAGAAAACAGCATCATTTTTTTCCAGCAGAAGAAAATATGATGTTTGCACACTTTCCCAGGGCAAGGTTATGACTTTTCTCCTTCTCTTTAATGCCTGCAGACTGCTCCTCCAGGTGTATTCTCCTCTTTCTAACCAGAAAATCCACTGCAAACCTCTGGGTCTGAGCATCCCTGATCCCCTGGAGCTGGGGGTAAGTATAGCTCACTCTGCTCTCAGACTGGTGAAATCCAAGTAGATAAAAAGATCTTTACATAGACAAGGTGTTTGACATGCCCTCCAGCCGGAAAAGTGCAGTCAGAATATTTCTCAGTGAAAATGGTTCAGTAAAGAGTGGTTATTATTATATTAGTGGTTGGACTCGATGATCCTAAATTTCTTTTCCAACCAGGTGATTTTGTGATCTTCAGGGTCTAAGCCAAATTTGCTGACAGTGGTCTCTAAACCAGGCATGGCTGAGTTGGTGAAGAAATTGGAGCAGGGAAGTTCTGAGCAAAGCTGGGAGAGTGACACAGAGCTGACCCAAAATGATGGCCAAGGCTTCTCTGCTTCAGAATCAGCCCTAAATGGTCCCTCTAGGCTGAGCTTTCAGCCTCTCAGCTGCCATCATTACACAGTGACTGGACTTGAAATCAAAGGACAGCTACTGCAATCCCATTTGTACCATCTTTGACTCATTTGATCACGTCCAGAGGGCTGTAGAAATATATTAATAGATTTTCATGTTCAGAAGAAGCCATTCCCCATGCAACCTCTATATATGTTTCTACAGAATTCTACATTCTTTGGATATTATTGTGTTTGACAAATCTGACAAAATGGCTAAAACCAAACTGATCCGAAGAATTTCCCCTCTCTTTCCTCCCTTTCTCATGCAGAAGCATCGCTGTTCCTTCTGCTTTGCAACCCAAGGCAATTTTTGCATTTGCAACCCCTACAGAGCTACACAGAGGATACATAACAATACTACACCATTTGACAAGTTTTCAAATAGCGTGACCAAAACTTACATTTATGTCAGCCTGTATTAAATCTTGTCTGCACCTTTTTTAGCTGCTATGACTTTGAACTTCAACAAGAAACAGAAACACGCATCCTGTAGAGATGATGCACATAAATAAAACTTTGCTTAAACATTCTTCAGAAAAATCAGTGTGTTATTGCAGAAAGCCCCTAACTGCACTTCTCTCTCATAAAAAAAAAGACAAACCAGATGTTTGCTGTGTATTCAAAGGCTGAAAGAGAAAGCAGGTTTACTGCCTTACTTTCCATCTTATTTTATTTATTACAAAGCAGAATTGGGAAAAAACCCAAAGCAGAAGTTAATGTTTTGCCTCAGTTCTCTCCACCTTCCGAGCATCTGTGTTACTTAATAAAAAAAGCAGTCAGATGGACAGATGAGTTTTCATGGCTCTCTTTGTTCTACAGACTGCAGGGGGCAACATCTGTTTCTCCTGATCCTTTCTCCCCCTTGATCAGGAAATTAAATACAAATTACTCAATTAAAGTAACCTGAAGAATTAACTTAATTAAAAATAAGGAAGTTCTCGTCTGTCCTTTGGAAGGTTAATGTGTCTGAGCTGAGCTGGCGGGAGCGCAGCACAGGCTGTGCCGATATCTGATTCTCTGACAGAGCCTGTGCTTGGGTGCACGTCTGCCTTACCAAAGCTATTCCAGTGCTGTCTGCTACTATTGATTAAACTGTATTTGATATTGCTATTGGTGACTAGACGGTGCAAATCAACTTCATTCCTGGCTTTGAAAAGGCTGTGATACTGTTGCAGCTTCCTCGACAGGTCCACTGCATGAATACTGACAAAGTCCCCTCAGTTCCGAAAAGAGCCATTAAAAGAGTAATTAAAAAGAGTAATTAAAACCTAGTTGAAATGTTGGTAATTTGAGTATTTCTGGGGAGAGTCTGCTTCTCTGAACATCCCTGTGTGAGAACCACATTCTGGTATTCGGAGCACAAATCATCTTTCGTAATAAAAATTCAATAGCTCTCCCCAGAACTACCTGTTAAAACTCAAACAGTAGATTAAATATTTACTTGTTCTTTCTCAGGATCTTCTGGCTCAACAGAAGAATTTAAAGAGGTACTAAATGCTGAGGAGGAGCTGGGCAGCAGCAGCAGAGCACCCAGGGCTGGGGCTGTGGGCATGGGGTGGTGACGAGCCCCACAGGATTCAGATACCAAATCCCCTAGTCCCTTCTTTGCACTTAGACATTGTAGATGCTGCATAAACCCTTTCTTGGGATTTGACACTATAAACTGGAAGTCCAGAAGATCTGCTAAGAGCTGATTCAGCAAAGTGCTGAAGCCTGTATCTAAATTCCCCTTAAAAATCACTGCAATATGAACAAGTGCTCACCTCATGTGGAATGAATGTGAATAGGTTTAGGTTTGAGCATTATACCTTGGGGTTATATCTTGGGCTGAAGTGCTTTGAATCAGAGACTGGCTTCCTACAGCTCCTACAGTAATTTTTATAGGTTTGAGATACAAGCAATATGTGGGCACCTGAACTAGTAATTTTGCTATTTAAAAATAAAATTAACTGGGATTACAGACTTTTATGCTTCCCTCCATTTTATTCTCAAGTAACATCTATGCAGACATTGAATATTTTGTTCTATTTCAATTCATTCTAAACTGATGTGGCCAAAGTAATTCTGCTTTTACTGTTAGTGCCAACTAATGTTTTCTTGTATTTCCTTATTCGTTGCATTCACTTGGCCTGAAATGGATGTTTGATTGTCATGTAAACTACTTTTCAAATACACTTCTGAAGTGCAATAATATTGGGGTGGCTAGTGCAATATTTTGTAGTAGTGTTAGCGCAAATGACAAGATAGAGTGGGTCATACTTTCATTGGTAACCCATCTGGGTGGTGCTTTTTTGTGTGCCTTGTAAAGATGATTATAAACACACACAGCAACATTAAAAAAGCAATTTAGATACAATGATCTGATTTCAGTCAACCATATAAACTTTATAACTCTCACATCTTTTATTCCATATAGGGTTTCCTTCTCTCTTGAAGGTCTAGCTGTAACCATTGAGCAGTGTATAGAAAAGCCTGAGATCTGAACTAGGCAGCTCTCTGAGCTTGTTTTTACGAATAGATATGAATTTGTTACAGGAGCAGGGGATAACTCAGGAGTTTTGCAGGCTTCTTTGGAAATGGCTGGCTGAAGGTCGGTGGATATTTTGAGACGACTTTGGTGGAGAAGAGAACTATAAGAAGACTTTGGTGGATTTGCTTTGCAACTCGTACTTTTTATGTATTCTATTTCATAAAAAAAAAAAAAACAACAGAAAAAGGAACTTCAGTGCAATGTACTTTGGAAGTTAATTGGAGCAGACATTCAAGTCTTAAGTAAATCAGCTCTGTATCATTTGACACACAACATTACTTCGATTAGTATGACTTTCACCATTATCTAGACAGATGAAACGATGTACCATGCTAATCAGAATATTAAAGTGACACTAGCACTTATATATTATGAATATTTACTCAACAAATGAATGCATGATAAATGAGATTGCTCTAGAAATCTTTCTCAGTAGAGAAAATGTGAATTCTTTCCCCCTCAGGAAATTCTTTCTTGTGCCTAATCCAGTTATCAAATTTTCAGTGCATCTTAAGCTGCCCCTCCTTCCCCCCAGAGAGTAGTTTGAGTTGCAGCTCAAACAGCGTTTTCTGCACTAACAGGGCTTTTTTTTTTTTTTTTTTCTTCTCAAACAGGGTTTTATGCAGGAATTGTATGGACTGTTCTGAATGGCCCATGAGGCTGAAAGCTGTTTTGAGACAATTCTTTTGCATGCATTTCTACACCACTTCTGACCCAACCCCAGATAATGGGGCCAAATTGGGAGTGTGAAGCCCTATATATTCAAACCAATTTTCACAGTCAGATCATTGTGATCACAGGGTTATATGTGGACTATCTAAAGCTGGACAAGTTCAAGTGCAATGTCAGTACAGATAGGTCTGTGCTTAGGGCTGTGGACGCACATTTTCTCCCAAAATGACTCAGTCTCCCTCTTGCCTGGGCTCTTCCTGGATCACACAAGCAAAGTACAGCTCACTATCTGTGCATAAGGCTCAGTAACAGAGGTGGCTGCCACCCTTCAGAGTGTTTGCAGTTGTAAGCTTTCTGTGAATTTTTCTTGGCTTAGTTTTCTGGGGAAGAGGTGTGTTTTACTCAGAGAAGCTGTGGGTGCCTCATGCCTGGAAGTGATCAAGACCAGTTTGGAAGGAGTTGGAGCAACCTGGTCTAGTCCCTGTCCCCAGTGGGGAGGTTGGAATGAGATGATCTTCAAGGTCCCTTCCAACCCAAACCATTCCCTGATTCTAAGAACAATGAGATTAAAAATAGCCCGATGAGAACAATGAGATGAAAAAAAGCACATTGACAAATGCTGACCTTGAGCTCCACATTAAGATATGAACTGAATGTTACTCATAGTCAGAGTCAAAGTGAATTGTCAAAGTGAATCTTACACATTTCCCCCACCTGCTTCTGTGGGCAGAATATTCTGCCTGGAGCAGAATACAGAACACCACAGGCTCTTCCCATCCACCAGAAAAAGGGGAGAAAATACACAGGGATTGGCTCCTTGGTGCTGAAAACCCTAGGAATATTTTCTAATTCTGGTCTAGCATGGAATAATCTTCCAGAAGTAAAAAGAGTCTTTTTATAGCTAATTTTTGGGTATAATATTGAAATATTACCATGGGCTCTGGTCCTACAAGGCTACAACTTTCAAGGTTTCAGTGCATTATTCCTGGGTTCCTTGGCCATGACAGGCCCTTGTGCTGCATGTTTAAAATGCAGTTGGCTTCCATGTTGGTGTATAGCAATCACAGTGACCTTGTACTAGTATTGTCATGGTAATTTCTTGGCCATCCGTTGTGTCAGGATCTCTGTGTCCTTACACAGAGCAGGTGACACCTTCCAGCAGCTGAAGAACTTGGATTGCATTATCTAGAGTTTGACATGAAGGGTAACTCTCTAAAAGTTCTGTACTGAAGGGTAAATCAAGTGTCTGCTGGATTTTTCCACCATATACATCTTAGGAGGGAGCTTTGTTGTGTAGCTGGCTGTGAGGTGGCTCCTGTGTTGACTTATTTATCTTTGCTTCACGATGTTCAAGTTCATTCTTCCCAAAGCCTTTAATCTTCTTGGACAGAAGACATTGGCACAAAGTTGAAGATGTTGACACAAACCATCCATACACTCAGTGACCCTCACTGGGACTTGCCCCAGAGGCTACAAAGAAGAAAAGGGAGATTTTAAGAGCCCATGATGGCAGCAGAAGCTCAGGTACAAGATTTTTTCTTCCCAATTAACCTGCCAAGGACCTTCCAGCAGTTTCACACACAGCAAACACATGGATGATGCAGCCCTGTGCTCCTGCTGGGTGCTGTCCCTCTTTCTCACTATTATTACCAAACTCCTGCCCATTAATCCTATCTTGTTGAGTTCCTCTTAAACAAAAGTCAGCAACTGCAAAATGGAAAAGCAAGTAAGGCTCATTTCATTTTCTTGGTGTGTGTGATGACCATTGACAGGGTTTGCATGTGTGACTGACATGGTAGATTAATTTATAATAAAAATGCAACATTCACATAAATGACATCAAGCGATATCTTCAGTGCTGTGCTCATCTGCCTGAAGGGACAATGTGGTTTTCTATTACTGCTAAAGTGCACAATAGTGTTGCTCGGCTGATTTGGTTTTATTTTTATATTGTGCTGCCAGTTCAGTTAGAAATCTAGGCAAGCTCTGTCAATGGCAATAAGGCATCCATCCACCAAAAAACAGGTTTCTTCCCCATTCAAATCATGAGGGCACCTAAGAAATCACTGGTCACTTAAGGACACAATGAGTTGTCATAGTAACATTGAAAAAAGGTGAAATGCGTGGATTGACATGTGCCCTTTAATAGATTCTTTTGCCCAAGTGAAAATGTATTAATTGATCTTTCACAGCACATTTTGGATCTGAAATTGTAATGTCACACTCACAGAAGAGTAGATTCTTTTACAAAGAACATCCCTTTCTGTCATTCATATTTGCCTATTTCAATAAGTTTACAAATCTCTGGAAAAACTGCAGTTCTCAC